TTATTAGGGTTGGAAGACAATCTCGCGGCATAATTTAAAGAAATGTGTTGTCTTCGTATTGATAGGGGAGATTCATTTAGGATAACCTGAAAACTTGAAACAGGACTAGTTCGGTAAGCACCCAGAATTAGTCTTAAACATGTGTTTTGTATAATGTCTAGTTTTTTAAGTATATAATTACTCGCAGTTGAATAGCATATTGCACCATAATCCAGTTTGCTTCGGATTAATGATTGGTATATATGCAGCAATTTTATGGTGTCCGCTCCCCAAGATCGGTTTGATAGCATTTTAAGGAGATTTATTTTAGATTGGCAGGATACGACTAGCTTTTTAATATGTTCTCCCCATGTTAACTGACTGTCCAGTCTTAGGCCAAGAAAGTCAATGCTCTCTACTTGTTCTAGGTTGATACTATTTAGAGTAAGTGTTGTTTTGCAATCAGTTTTTCTTTTATTGAATACGATGAAACGAGATTTATCACCTGAGAACGTAAAACCAGTCTTTTGGGACCAGTCTTCTAGTTTATGCAGAAATGATTGCAAAATGTTTGAGGCTAGTGTAATATTGCAGCTACTAGTATATACAACTAAGTCATCTGCATACAGACCTGCTTTCAAAGGTAGCTTTATCTCTTGAGCGATATTATTAATTGCTATTAAGAATAAAGTGGGACTTAAGGTTGAGCCCTGTGGAATACCGTTTTCAAGACATTCTGTTTTTGAGGTAATTCCATTTACACGTACTTGAAATGTCCTATTATTCATTAAATGTTTTACAAAGGCAAGCAAATTTCCCTGGATACCCCAATTGGACATGGTTTGTAAAATGTTGTATCTCCATGCAGTATCAAATGCTTTATTTATATCAAAAAATATGGCAATTACTTTCTGGTTATTTCTAAAGGACTCACATATAATATTGTCAATAACTACTAAGGCATCATGAGTTGATCTGCCTTTTCTGAAACCGCTTTGGATATGGCTTAATAATTGGTTTTTTTCAAGAAACCACATTAATCTGTTATTTAAAATTTTTTCTAATAGTTTGCATGTATTATTTGTAAGAGAAATTGGTCTATAGGAAAGGGGGTCAGTTTTTGATTTGAAAGGTTTTAATATGGGAATAATTGTTGATTCAGACCAGATTGAAGGAAATTTTTTATTAAGGTAAATGTGATTGAAAATGTCTAAGAGAATTAATTTTCCTATGTACGGCAAGTTTTTGATAAATATGATTGGTATATTATCAGGACCCGATGAAGTGTTTTTTGATTTATCTAGAGCTTCTTCAAATTCTTGATATGTGATGGGAAAATTTAGTGGATTATCACTATCTATTATAGATATATCTGTCATTTCACGTTTATTTTTGAAATCTAAAAATGCGGGATTGAAGTTTGCATTGCTTGAATTATTCTTATACACATCTGACATAATATTACTAATTTCTTGTTTGGAAGATATTAATTTGTTTTTATAATAAAGAGTGTTAATATGAATTGAGTTTTGTTCACCTTTTAATGTACGAACTTTATTCCAGATTGTAGTCATAGGTGTTGATGAATTTATGGTAGAGACATAATTTGACCATGTTTCTTTTTTACTTTTCTTAATAAGATATTTAGTTTTTGCTCTAAGTTTTTTAAAATTGATAACATTTTCTGTTGTTTTATGTCTTTTTAAAACATTGAAAGCATGTTTGCTAGATTTCATAGCTAAGGCTATTTCTTCACTCCACCATGGTACTGGTTTTCGTTTACAAGGTTTTGTTTTTCCCACTGCAATATTAGCGCATTTTACTATAGTATCATTGAAATGATGAAGAGATGAATCTATGCTATCTTCTAGAATAAAGTTCGTAAGATAATTATTTAATAGATCTTTATATAAGTCCCAGTTTGCTGAGTTTAATTTCCATTTTTGGTAAACAGGAATATTTGGTTGATCATTCAAAATGGTTTCAATTGTTACAGGAAAATGATCGCTATTATATAGATAATCAAGACTATTCCAAGAAAAACTTGTAGCTAATGTGTGGTCACACAATGAAATATCGATGGCAGAAAAAGTACTATTGTGGGAGCTGAAATGAGTAGATTTACCAGTATTCATTAAAATTAGATTTTGATTGTCTATTAATTTCTGAAGAAGTCTACCACATTTGTCTGTTTTTATACTACCCCATGTGATATTATGACAATTCAAGTCACCAAGTATTAGTTTGGGAGCAGGAATATCATCGATTAAGCGATGTAATTCTTCGAGTACATTTTCATTTGGATGAGGGAGGTAAATGTTACATAAGTTAATAGGTCTGCAGTTGATATTGCATGACACTGATACAGCTACAGCTTCTAGATTAGTGTGTAGCTTAATTTCTTTGGTCTGAATGTGATTTTTTACAAAAATACCAACACCTCCACTAGCATATGTTGCGTCTCGATTTTTAAGGAAATGGGAATAATTTTTTATATTAAAGTTATTACTTTTAAGGTGGGTTTCCTGTAAACATATTATAAGAGGAGAAAAATCGTTTATAAGTAGATTAAGGGAATCTAAATTATTAAAATAACCATTAAGATTCCACTGTAATATAAATGTATTATCCATTTTATTTTACAACGTGGGAAAGGGAGTTATCGCTTTCAATATCCGAGGATGAACCGGTAACTAAGGATTGTATCTTTTTTCGAAGTCTTGTTAGTTTATTTTTTATTTTGCGATCAGGAATATGGTCGTGGGCCAATAGAAGTATCTCTTTAAAAGAACTTATATCGGTTGTGTAATTTTCTACTATGGGGGTAGGATAATTTGAGTTTAATGCGTTACATATCGCGTCACAAAGAACTGTAAATTTAAGAGGAAATGTCGGGTATTTAGATTCGATTTTACCTTTAATAGATTCAAGTGACTCGAGGATATCAGATTGTGATGATTTTGGTCGCTTAACTGTATTTTTGGGTTTGGTAAAAATTGTTGGATCGGGTGGCGTTTCATGTATCTCAGGAGAGTCAGTAGATATTTGTCTCTTTGTTTTTTGTTGGGAGGCATCAGTGTTCAAAGTAATAGGATTGTTATTTTTAGTCGTTTCTTTGTGAATATCTTCTGTTGTTATTTGAAAGTTAGTGGTATTATTAATAGGATTTCCTGCTTCTGTTGTAAGATTTTGAGGTTTAGACGGAAGTGATATTGTAGATTGAGATTCAATGGGCGTTTCAGTTGATGTCAATTCTGATAGAACAGGGCAGTCTGTTTCGCGATGACCTTTTGACATACACTTAGGGCAATTTAAGTCAGTGGATAGATAAATTCGATAGTTGGTGTTGTCGAAGGATATTGTAATGAAATCTGGGATAGTGATATTTTCAATAGGAGTGATAAAAATTTGTCTTCGAAAGCTTAAAACGTGGTTATAGGCAGTGTCCGGCATTCCAACTCGCAGAAAAGTCATCTGGGATACAGTATTAAGTCCTAATTTTTTCAGCTCAACTTCAAGTACTGAGTTTGGTATGGTGGGACAGACATTTGAGATGACCAGTCTTGTAGCAGGAGTAATTAGACGTCTTACTTCAACTTCTGAATCATTAATGGATATTGATGTATGTGTCTTCAGCAATGTATTGACGACTTCGGTATTGGAGAGATAAATACAAATTCTGTTATTTGAGATGCGGGATGCAAATAATATATTTTCTGGTTTTACTATATTTCCTATTGCTATCACGTATTCATTTATTTTTATTCCATTGAGAGCAGATAGGACAATGGCTTGGTTTTTGGTTGGATATTTAAATGAAGTAACAGCGTTGGAATATGAACATGGTTGATTATTGTTAGGAGAAGAAACAGAACCAACAGAATCTTCATCCATTTTTAAAAATATTATTCATATTTTGGTACCTCTATTCTTCAGACGGTCCTGTTTGTCACAACAGAATCGGTAATGAGGTACCAAAAGTTGTGTAGTTGATAAATCCGGTAGCAGGAACTTGTTTTGATATAAGTATCTTTAACTATATTATAATAAATACTACTTACAGTTTTTTTCCAAGTAGTTCAAATTTATTTTTATATTAACACTACACTTTATTGCAATTTTATCAACTGAATATAAATAATCAATTATAGTAGAATGTTGACGCTTCTCCATTAGGTATAATCGTAACCGCCTGCAAATCATAGCAAGCTACAACAAACTCTTCAGAAATTAACTCTTTGTCTTTCAGCTTTTCTTCTCTACTTTTGTTTTTTTCTTGTAAATGTCGATTGTATTCCTCTTGTAGCTCCTTCTTTTTTTCTCCTTCCGTCACTTTATACGCCGTGCATTGATCACATTGATCTTTTTTCGGCGCAAAGAAACTGATATTAAAATTAGAATTAAAAAATTAGTATTAAAATTTTGTATAGGTATGTAGCTTTATGAACTGTAAATTGTTTTCAATACAATGGTCTTTGTAATCGTTATACAAATCTATTAAATTCTTTCCACCATCAATATACTTCCTATATGTTTGTTTTCTTAATAAATGGCTCTCTATATACGGGGAATGCTATTTATATGGTCTTTTACGCCGGCTGTCAGCTCGTCAGATATTTTATTATGTTTTTTGTGCTTCCCTCTTTCTTCTCCTAACAAAATTCCCCTGTTGTCCATTTTACTAATCACTGTTCTTATAGGTCTATCACTTATTCCTAAGGTATTTTTAAAAAATATCTTACAAACCTTAACTTTGGCACTATCCAACTCAAAAGTGAAGGAATGCTTGTACTTTCTGTTTGAATCGACTTTTTTATTCTGGTATTTAGGAACTATTTCTGTCATACTTCGCGCAATAAACTCTCTTTGGCGTTCAAGCGATCCCATTCCCCAATACCCTTCAAATAGCCGTTAACGAGCTTCTTGTGATATTTTTTCCCTGCATTTTAATCGGAATGGTTTCCACAGGTTGGTCCAATTTTGCGGGATTCAATAATTCGATTTGATTTTGATACCGATACGTATTGTTGCCCTGAAATTTCTCAAATTCTTAGCAACAATAGCACGCCTCATGTTTGCAGATTTTTTTCCAGATCTGGGTATATGCTGAACTCCATCTGTAGAACTTGTTGATGAGCATGAACTAGCTGATAATCTTCGACGCGCTTGTTTAGTAGGAGGTTGATATGTTCTATCATAGTTAGAAACTGATGAAAACTCACTGTTATTTTCTTCATCTTCATCATTCTTGGTATCTGGAAATAATAAAATAAGAATAGATAGATTTTATTGAAAATAAACTGGACATGCAGTCGACTCTCTTACCGGAGATTGCAGAGTTCTTTCTAATGCAGGAGGCAAATACGACTCTGGAAACAATTTTAAAAATTCACATCGGAGGTGTCGATTAAAATAATATTTTTTTACCATTAACTGGACATGCAGTCGACTCTCTAACCGGAGATTGCAGAGTTGTTTCTAATGCAGGAGGCAAATACGACTCTGGAAAAAATTTTAAAAATTCACATCGGAGGTGTTGATTAAAATAATAATTTCTTACCATTTACTGGACATGCAGTCGACTCTCTAACTGGAGATTGTAGATTTGTTTCTAATGCAGGATGCAAAGAACTTGAACTTGAAGTCGATGTGCAGGAACTACACGACGAGGATGAACTTAACGATGAGGAGGAACTAGATGATGAGACTGGAAACAGTGTTCTACTAATGTTTGTTGTTTTAGTCTCTGTTTCAGATCTGTTAACATTTACTTTGTTTTCAATGTATTGTGCCAACGCCAATATTGTTTGTCCTCTGTTCATATTGGAAACCTACAAAATTTATTAAGTAAAATTCCCCCTGCGTAAAATGTATCAATGAAAAAATTATTACGAAAATTCAATTCACTACTTTAAATATCATAAACGTTCTGATGACGTGTTAAAATGCCTCAAACGAAAATTTTTTTTGCTCATGTATTTCAATAAGGATACCAAACAAATAAACATGACATCTAATAATTATCATTTTTTTAACCATATTAATTACAATTTATTTAAAAAACGACATTAAACTAAAAGCGTCACAGTTGTTTTAAAAAAATACATAAAAATATTTAAGTTTATTTTAATAAAGTGACACTAAACAAATAGTGTCACCATTGTTATACCATTCTTAATAGAAATTTTAATATTCATTTGGAAAAAATGTCATTAAACAAAAGGTGTCACTTTACATATTCTACTTACTTGAGATTCTCGAACTACTGAAAATAATACTCTGGCATTAACTACAAAATGACACTTTTTCACTAAGAGCGCCGTGCGTACTCGAAAACGTTTTGGTTACAACTGGTATAGTGTCATTATTTCAGTGACAGAATAATTGTCGTTAGACAAAAGTGACATTGGCGCCATCTAGTGAAAATTAGGGGGACTACAGGCAAATAAAATAGTGCGATTAGTGACGTTTTTGATGTAAAACTTGAATGTACAAAAAGGTGAAAAGTGAAAAATTTCGTATAGTGTCACTTTTTTTTTCAACGTGCGATATGTTCAACGGATAATGATTTACTACACTTTTTGCGAACAAGTAACTTGCCATGAGATGTTCACGTGTCAGTCGTGTATCACGAATTCTTAGCCTACGAACGATTCATTTGTTTTTTCTACTAAGTTAGGTAGTGGAAAGGTTTCGATGGTAGCTTGTATTTTGTGTAGGTTTGAGGTTAAACTCTTTCATTGGTTTTGCCAGTATTTTTTGATTTGGGACCTGAAAAGTGGTGTTTGATCTGATGCTGGTTGGAAGGATGTGATGTCTGATTTTATCGTTATTAGTTTTCAGCAGTATCAGCAGTTCTATTAGCTAAAATGTCAACATCTGAAGGAATGCAAATTAATTTTATGTTGGCACAAGAAGAACTGAGACGGTTTGTTACTTTAAGTATGATATGAACCAATGGATGTTTAGAATAGAGGAAAGTAGCCGAAATTGTACTGACGCTAATATTGTACCACCGCTGTATTTATACTTTATGAGGAATCCCGAGCGCTTTTATGTCGTTTAGTCGAACTAGTCACTTCCTAGAGATGAGTGTTGTAGTTTTACAACGTTCACATTTGTCGATTGTGTTTTATCGAATTTTTTGTATTTCATGGTATTTCAGTATAGTTTTCTAGTTCCATACGTAAGGCTACAACATCTGTAAAGGTACGTGCAAACCATTTTTATTCATAATTACAAAAGAAGCATGTACCTATCCAGGTGTATAAAACTAAGTTGTTTCCATTTACCGGGCCTTTTTAGGTTAGGAATCATAATTTATTTACGTAAAGTGCAAGTTTACCATATTGTATAGTAGCCTCGTATTTCCGTAAGACTGTAAAAACATATGTATCTGTTATAAAATCATTCAACAAAAAGGAACTCTACCAGGAGTCTGTAAAATTATAAATGACTCAGACGTATAATAATACAAAGTTTTCAGATTCCACTCGATATTAACATTCAGACGTGGCTGGTATAATCTTTTAAAATATTGTTCATATTCATAAGATATGAACAATCAACCAATTAAGTTTTAATCGAACTTATGATAAGTCCACGTGGACTAACGGCCAATGAAAACATCGGATATCGCTATTAGGACAAATCGTAATGCATTATCTTTTGTCGGTAGACTTATTCATACTTGGGGGTGCTTGGGGTAAGATTATATCAGTATTTGACTGAGCTTACGGAGTCATAAAATAATGGATCAGGTTTCGACCGTCCAGTGCCGAAGGCACGGGGCGGGGAAAACTTAGGTAGGCAAATTTTTATAATATTTTATTTTTAAATTGTGGATATGACCAACAAATTTTTGGGAGACAAGAATATTTTGAGTAAAATCATAACTGCTACAGCGTTCAGTTAAATTCAAATTTCAACTAGTGAACCGCAAGTTAGTTTGGTAGTGACTTTTTTCAGTGTTGTTTATACGGAAAACATTTTATATTTTACGTTTTATACTTTTTTTAATACGTTTTTACGTGATTATGTTTTTATACCTTTGATAATTTTAAAATATTGCGTCCGTGGAGCGATAATAATTATGTAGCTGAAGAGACAATGGAACCCTCTAATCGATTGGAAGATTTACAAAGGCGTGTAGTACAACATAAGCGACATTTTCAATACCTTTCTGATGATGCCAAACGTAGGCTAAAAAATGTTTATGAAGGACTGTGTGCTGAATTGTCTAAATCAGAGGCAATTGCAGAAATATGTTTTTTAACCAGAGTGCCCAAAGCAACCTGCTACAAAATTATAGGAGAAACGTCTTCTTCTAGACAGAAAATTCAGAAAAATAGAACCGCACTTAATTGAATCTATAACTAGAACAATATACCAAATGTATGCGGCTAATATTTTTCCAACTATTGAAAGCCTTCGAAGTGAATTAGTTCGAAAGTGCATTCTCTCGTGTTCAGCAACAACACTTCGATAATTTCTTAAAGCCAATAATTTTAAGTACAAAACTGTAGACAAGAGACAGACATTAATGGAAAGTACTGGAATAATTTCGTTAAGAAACAATTATATTGGACAGATAACTGTTTGACAGTTATCTGTCCGACAGCTGAAATATTGTTTATTTAGATGAGACCTACTATGATACTCATGACACCGTGAAAAAAAAGTTGGACAAATAATAACAAAAAGTGTTTCAACTCAGTACCGCCCAATAAAAGAAAGGGGATTATAATTTTACACTGCGGTGGAGAAAATGAATGGGCAGCCGATGCATTATTAATATCTGCAAAACAAATTTAAAACGCGTCTCTGGATTATCATGACGATATGGAAAGTTCAATTTTTGAATCATGGTTTGAAAAATGTCTTCTTTCGAAATTACTTAAAGATAGTGTGATTATTATGGAAAACGCATCATATCATTCAAGATTAATGAAAAAAACTTTAAATAATATTGGAATAAATTAAAAATTAAGGAATTTTTATTCACGGAAGATTCGTATTTTGAGACATATTATATTAAGGCTGTTTTATCGGTGCACCAAAATTTTTTCTCTGTTATTTACCGACGAAATGTCTCGAAATTTGGACATGTTATACGAAATTATGTTGCTTTTAAACTGATGGTTTTACTTTTTTTATTTTTTTGAATTTTCTGTTGAAAAATTGGATTATACTGTTTAACGTTCTATTATAACCAAACTTTTCACGCCCATCAGTTGAAAGAGTTTTTTTTTCTGTAATCGTTGATTCTTTTTTCACCTTTCTGTGTCCAGTAATAATCGAGAAAAGCGTATTCAAACTTTGAAGAAAATTGCTAAAAAATACTGAAATCTAATAGTGAAACGTGTTCCTCATCATTGTCGCTGAGCTTGATCGTTATCGCATTAGTGACGTCAAATTACATGAGCGTACGGTACGGTCATATTTTTATTTCTCTATGGGTACGGTCAGTTAGTTCGCTTGAATTAGAATCCATTTTAGTTCTTTCATTCTTGTATTTTCTTTATCAACTTGCTTAGTTTTTACAGTTTACAGTATTCTTATTTATTTTGAAAACATTGAAATTATTTAGTTTACGTGTATGTTAAGTAATATATTATTAGTTTAGTGGTATAAGTTAAAAGTTCTTTAGTTTACGCGTATTTTTAAGTATAACATTAGGTTAGTGATATAAGTTATAAGAGACAAGATAAAAAATGAGTCCCAGTAAACGTCCTATGTCAAGGAAAAGGAGAGCAATTGCACTGCTTTAGTATTTATTATTTATATTACAACCGTTTTATAAAAAAACGCTAAATAATAAAAAGCTTTTATTTAACTTTATATATATATATATATATATATATATATATATATATATATATATATATATATATTCAATATATTCAAGGTTTGAATAATCATTCTCCATTTTCATGCAACTTTTCTAATATGGAGATTATCAAAGAAAAAATGGACGGATTGATAAGTACATTGACTTTTAAATGTCAAATGTGGAATATTGAAAAGGAGATAGCAACATAGGATTCTGGTAACAATTCACTGAACTTCAATGGTTCTGGTTATTCAGACATACAGCAGCAGCACGCTGCATTAAATATACCTGTGATTTCCTACAGGCAGTATGCAAAACATACGGAAACAGTTGCAGATATCATCGGCCAAACACTTTGTGATTCCTTAGAAGAGGCTGGACGGGAGGAATTAGCTTTAGCCAAAGAAATTGGTGAAGTAGATTCCTACGGAAATGAGTTAATAACCGTTATAGCTGATGGTGCTTGGTCAAAAAGATCGTATAAAGTAAACTACGATGCTTCTTCAGGTGTAGTACCTGACGTTGTAAAATTTATTAAATTAGTACGCCTTTGATGGATAGGACATGTAATTAGGCGAGATGAAGATGAAACGATCAGAAAAATTTTCGACCGAAGAGGACCAGTGGGAAGACGATCCAGAGGAAGACCAAAACTTAGGTATCAAGATAACATAGAGGATGATCTAAAATCCATCGGAGTTAAAGCATGGAGAAAGTTGCCAGAGGCAGGGGCGAATGGAAGATTGTTCTGAATAAGCCTTTGGCTCATGACGAGCTGAAATGCCACTGATATGATGAAATAACTATCCACGATTTGTGTTTTATTCATCAATTGGATACTTTTCTTATGTAACTGCAACCTATAAATATATTAAAATAATGTATATTCCATTCAGAGAACTTTTTCCTCGCAGTGCGTCGCCTCGAAATACTTGCCAGATAAATACATTTACTATTATGATGGTTTCGCAGGTACCAATTTTTTATAGA